AAATCTATTTAAATTTATTATTTTTGATTCCCAGTAGATCAGAAATTACAAAACGCATTTATTTGTCTTTATATTATTATAATTATTATTGAACGACTTTCTTTAAAAAGAAAATAGTTAAATCAGCAACACATATAAGGAATAAATGCAATGCTTAAGTAAATAAAAAAATGCAATTTACATAATCAACTGCAAATTATAAAGCGAGTTTAGAGCCCTCCTTTAATTTGTTTGTGTTGTCTAAATTACTCTAAACTATGTATAAAGCCTTTTATTTATTTTATGTTTGTTTTTGTTTTTGCTAGTTTTAAAACTTTGGCTGGAAAATGTAAGAAAAACAACTTCTGACACCCTCACAGATAATTATTACACAAACTAAAGGCTTATATAACCGAAAGGCTTATATAACCAAACAGCAAATGATTTATTAGAAAACTAGTGGATTTTTTTTAATTACATGTCTTCAAACCTTTGCTAAGATGTGTATTACTAATATACGAGAAACTACATCCACGGAGAAATAAACATTAATTAAGGAAATGTGATTTCCTTTGCAAGATATCTTTGGGCATCTCTTGGTGGGTAATTAATCTAATTACGTGGTGATGAATCCAGTTTTATCAGTACAGTAGGGTCAGATATATCCAGCAAAACAGGCTTCCAAGAGATTCAGAATAATCATAGGATACTGTTATGATTTTTGTGGATTAAGAAAATAACTTATATCCCATTTGTGATGTTTTATTGAATTGTGCTAATGACTCAGACACAGACGATAAGGACATTTTCTCTGTTTTCAAATACATTATGAGAATTTTATTTTCTTTATGCAACTGGTTGTGCAAGGGCAGCTTACATTCTTCAATATCACTGATGCGCGTCAGTGACCATTTATTAACTATCTAACCATTAGCAGCTAACTGGCCAGAAAATGTATTGAAAGAAATCTCATTATGTCCCTGGAAGTATCTGTAAATAAGAGAGCAGGGGCATGCAGATGTGATGGGTGTGAGGTTAGGTCAGCCGAGGTTAAATATGATTTATTGCAGTAATCAGGGCTGCAAGACAAGTGACACCAAAGTGCACCATGCACCTGCAGTGGTGATGCCATTTTTGGTGTGCATCACCTTTTGTAAGGACAACACTGAGAATAAACTATCTATGTTTATTCCGTTTGAACTGAAGAGCTTTTTATATGCTATTTATGTATTTATATGCTTAATTAGAATAAAAAGTAATGCATTATAAAAGAAGAACAACTACAAGAAAACAATGTATACTGAAAAATAATATGT